AAAAAATGCTATCGCCTTAAAATTACGGTATTTTTCACATAAACGTATGCAGATTTAGGCAAGGCCATAATGAGCATTGTAGTTTTCTGATATAATCTGAAGGTTTTCGAGTGTTGCCCATCGATGTTATTATTCACAGGCGTCTTTTTTAGATCACATTTCCGATACGACTACAAAAAAGCCTTTAACTTCTTATAAAAAAGCGTTCCGCAGGCTTAGAGCTATAGAAGGTATACATCACCTTTCGAATCGCCACTTCACCAAGCAAACTTTCCTTGTGAGTGACCTACCGGGAACAAAATATAGAAAATTCGTAAGAACTGAGTGCCACCGACGATGCTTACATACACGTACACCCTGTTCTATATATCAAAGCTGTGAATGTGCTCCTGGACTGTATAATAAGCGGTATAGTATGCAATTAAACAATGAAATTATGATTGTTCACTCTATCATTAGGTTTACGCTGTCTTGTCAAAGGAGGATAGTAAATGCTGCTTCCTCTAAAGTTTATGAAGGTAATGCCACTGCGGGAGATTACTATCTCTGCTACAGCCTTAAAAGTGGATCGGCATTATGGATCTTCTCGATTTTGGTGGACTAAGGCAGTAGACCCCCAAGTGCACAGTAGCTCAGACCCCACCTGCCATATCATGTGCTAAGTCCTGAAAAATGCGCTCTGAACTCCATCAGCCTAGCCCACTTCCAATAAGTGGGCGGGTTCGGTGGAGATTTGAAGCCCACTTCAGGGCTTAGCGCATGAATTGACAGACAGGGTTTGAGCTACAGTGTCTTTGGGGGTTGGGGGATCTATCCAAAATCCAAGCAGGGTCCGTTTTGCCTTGGAACGCGATGCGGTGGATCCTGTATGCGACAGACTCGTAATTTTTCGTGAAGAAAATTGTTGTTTTTAACGTCTCTTGCGCTCATGTAACATTATTTTTGGAGTAGAACTGCAAATGCATTATTTTTCGGGAGCATATGTCTAAATCCATATAAGATACATGAAGATGATAATGAGGAGAATTATTTGTTTGATTTCAGCATTTGCTCTGAAGGAAAAATCAGACAAGGGAATGGTCGGAAATCGAAGTGACAGTCCAAATAAGCTGCATGCCATTAGACGCAGCATAAAAAGCTGACTTCGAATCTGCATTCCATATCTGCTTAGCGCCTATGGAGGCGAAGTTATAAGCCGTTAAAGGCCGTTATTTTACTAAGAAATAGTTCATACAAAGCACAAGTTGGGCAGTAAGGCCTGTTCGACATAATGCCGAGCCAAATCATGCAGCTAGGTTACTTTATATTCTTGAAGGCCAAAGGTGAGCTGAAAGAGCAGCAATGTGCTCAATTGCGCAATTTTTACATACGATTTTTTCGTGATAAAACTGCTCATAAATTCGTTCACAAAGGCGCGAAGCAGATAGCGAATGCAGATTCGAAATCAGCGTTGATCGCTGCAACGAATGGTACACAGCTTGCTTGGATTGGCCACTTCGACTTAAAACACCAACTAGAACTAGAATCTACCCACTTAGATGATTACCACCGCAACTATCTTGATCTGAAAATCACCATTCAAGACAATATAATTTATACTATTAGGTTGTCAAGAAAATAATGTCCGTTTTTATTTGCTTGCTTTAACAAAGCAACCAGACTGAACCCAACAAAGGGTAAGGGGTACTGTTCGATAGAGCAAAGCAAGCTCTACAAGATGGCACTCATGTCTTTGCGCCAAGCTCGATCCACTGAGAGCTCGAACTCAAAATCTAAAGATTTCCAAATGCCCAAAAAATCGAAAAAAATCAGATCTTCGTCCAGATAATTTCTACGGACCTCCCACTCGCTCATATCAATACTATCGATATCAGATATCCATATGTGCGATTGGCGTATTTTTTCCTTGACTAAAAGCTGAGAAAACGAAAATTTCCCTGATTTTCTCAAAGCAATGCTGAGCCGTTTCTGCAAGTGTGGTTCTATACTATAAGCCTAGGTAAGTATAACTGTAGATTTTCAGCCCATTCCAAGCGGTAGTTTTCGAAAAATAACGAATTCGGATTTTTTCGTTTTAGTTCCAGTGCTAAAATCGACATTTCTCGAAAAGCACCGCTCGAAATAGGCTGAAAACCTACAGTTATGCTTACCTAAAGCAGTGGTATCAACGCAGAGTACTCAGAAACGGCTCAGTATTGCTTTGAGAAAATCAGGGAAATTTTCGTTTTCTCAGTTTCTAGTCAAGGAAAAAATACGCCAATCGCACATATGGATATCTGATATCGATAGTATTGATATGAGCGAGTGGGAGGTCCGTAGAAATTATCTGGACGAAGATCTGATTTTTTTCGATTTTTTGGGCATTTGGAAATCTTTAGATTTTGAGTTCGAGCTCTCAGTGGATCGAGCTTGGCGCAAAGACATGAGTGCCATCTTGTAGAGCTTGCTTTGCTCTATCGAACAGTACCCCTTACCCTTTGTTGGGTTCAGTCTGGTTGCTTTGTTAAAGCAAGCAAATAAAAACGGACATTATTTTCTTGACAACCTAATAGTATAAATTATATTGTCTTGAATGGTGATTTTCAGATCAAGATAGTTGCGGTGGTAATCATCTAAGTGGGTAGAATTCTAGTTCTAGTTGGTGTTTTAAGTCGAAGTGGCCAATCCAAGCAAGCTGTGTACCATTCGTTGCAGCGATCAACGCTGATTTCGAATCTGCATTCGCTATCTGCTTCGCGCCTTTGTGAACGAATTTATGAGCAGTTTTATCACGAAAAAATCGTATGTAAAAATTGCGCAATTGAGCACATTGTTGCTCTTTCAGCTCACCTTTGGCCTTCAAGAATATAAAGTAACCTAGCTGCATGATTTGGCTCGGCATTATGCCGAACAGGCCTTACTGCCCAACTTGTGCTTTGTATGAACTATTTCTTAGTAAAATAACGGCCTTTAACGGCTTATAACTTCGCCTCCATAGGCGCTAAGCAGATATGGAATGCAGATTCGAAGTCAGCTTTTTATGCTGCGTCTAATGGCATGCAGCTTATTTGGACTGTCACTTCGATTTCCGACCATTCCCTTGTCTGATTTTTCCTTCAGAGCAAATGCTGAAATCAAACAAATAATTCTCTTCATTATCATCTTCATGTATCTTATATGGATTTAGACATATGCTCCCGAAAAATAATGCATTTGCAGTTCTACTCCAAAAATAATGTTACATGAGCGCAAGAGACGTTAAAAACAACAATTTTCTTCACGAAAAATTACGAGTCTGTCGCATACAGGATCCACCGCATCGCGTTCCAAGGCAAAACGGACCCTGCTTGGATTTTGGATAGATCCCCCAACCCCCAAAGACACTGTAGCTCAAACCCTGTCTGTCAATTCATGCGCTAAGCCCTGAAGTGGGCTTCAAATCTCCACCGAACCCGCCCACTTATTGGAAGTGGGCTAGGCTGATGGAGTTCAGAGCGCATTTTTCAGGACTTAGCACATGATATGGCAGGTGGGGTCTGAGCTACTGTGCACTTGGGGGTCTACTGCCTTAGTCCACCAAAATCGAGAAGATCCATAATGCCGATCCACTTTTAAGGCTGTAGCAGAGATAGTAATCTCCCGCAGTGGCATTACCTTCATAAACTTTAGAGGAAGCAGCATTTACTATCCTCCTTTGACAAGACAGCGTAAACCTAATGATAGAGTGAACAATCATAATTTCATTGTTTAATTGCATACTATACCGCTTATTATACAGTCCAGGAGCACATTCACAGCTTTGATATATAGAACAGGGTGTACGTGTATGTAAGCATCGTCGGTGGCACTCAGTTCTTACGAATTTTCTATATTTTGTTCCCGGTAGGTCACTCACAAGGAAAGTTTGCTTGGTGAAGTGGCGATTCGAAAGGTGATGTATACCTTCTATAGCTCTAAGCCTGCGGAACGCTTTCCTATAAGAAGTTAAAGGCTTTTTTGTAGTCGTATCGGAAATGTGATCTAAGAAAGACGCCTGTGAATAATAACATCGATGGGCAACACTCGAAAACCTTCAGATTATATCAGAAAACTACAATGCTCATTATGGCCTTGCCTAAATCTGCATACGTTTATGTGAAAAATACCGTAATTTTAAGGCGATAGCATTTTTCAGAAGAGCTCATCGCAGATATAGAAAGTATACCTGGCATCAGCTTTCGAAGTTCTATTTATGTGTACGCATCTCTTCCGAATCGCCACTTCGACTTAGGGAAGTTCTCTTGTCAGTGTTTTCCGATCACAACATGCGCACTAATCAACTGCTGCTATAAACTGACTGCCTATCGTGGCCCATTTGATCGTGTTAACTGAATAGTGGGCTCCGAAGTTGTTTACGCTAAACGAAGATTACGATACGATAAAAATTTGCGTACTTCTGAAGCATGCGTCTTTTTTCACAGATTGTGAGCTGCATATAGCTGAACACATTGGCGATTACATTTCTGATTTGTAGGAGGGAGAGAATCGAGTGGTCTTTTGCGAAATGAACCGTTTCAGAGTAAAAATAAATCGATGTTTATTGTCACCATGAAACATGGCATCCAAAAACAAGAGTTGTCGAATGAGCAGGACTCTATAACGCAGTGCGTTTGAAAAATTAGCCTACAAAAGTCAATTATCTGCGCGAAAGACTTTGACAGCATCTTATATTTTTGCACGTTATTCCAAAAACAGCAAGAACGAACACGGTTTTCTTAGCTATAAATTGTCTGTACGTACATAAGCAGTTACGTGTTATTCACACTGCTCATGTGTCATCACACTCGAATGGCTTATCTAAAGCAGTTGCACACTGCGACATCGGTAATACACTGGTGAGTACAAGTCATAGCCCGGCCTGCTTTTTCCAAACTAGACGAATTGAGTATGGAAGGGGGAATAGTGACTGACACTTTTCAAACCTCTAACGACGGCGTGTAGCCGAAACGAAAGGACGCAGAGTCTGCCACCATGAAATCCCCACAGAAAAAATGCTAGAGTTATCTACCAGCCCAGATCTCAAAATAAGAGGACTTTCAAGAAGCAACGGTTCATTTCAAACAACACATCTTACACGCAGCAGTGCAAGCTTAGGAATGACATGGATGATGGTTTTACTACTCAAAAGTTCAAGTATCTTTGGCAAGTGTGATCCACTTCATCACGCTGAAGGATGTAGCACACGAAGCCACTAGGACAGTTGACTGTAGAGTCTCCAGCTTCATACAGGGTGCAATCCGCTCCTTCCTGCAAACAGTAATGTGTGATTAGAAGTCAATTCATGTAATTCCAATTTTATCATTCAAGTAGTTAAACATCTTTTATGTCAACATTCGTAGGAGAGGGAAAAGTGAGAGAATTAGTTTCAAAATCAACGTTTGACGACAATTACCGTCAAGTTTACTCTTAGCGATACCTTGGACATACTCAACAGATAAGCATTGCCTAACGCAGTCTCTCAGAGGCTACAACTTTGCTAATACAACCGCTGTTACGGTCCAATAATTGTTGGTGATGGATGAAAATAGTTTCTACAACTTTTACAAATCTTCGAAATCCATTTTGATTATCTGCATGAAGATCAGGGCACCTGCACAATTCAGTGATTCATGTAGGCCGCAGTTTTTGCGTATTATAGTTGTGCAGTGAATACACTGCAAACATGAGCACACGCAATAAATAGAAATAGATGCTTGCACATGTAAAGTTTTGACAGGACACCAATTTGAATTATTTTTTGATACTACCGGTTCTTCCTCTGCTTATGGACTGTAGAAAATTGAGAGTGATGAAAGGAGCCTCTTATAACTTGTGACAGTTCATACAACTGACTTCTTTTTCCTTGTATGCAAGTGCAATGAAAGTCTTGTCTCTATGGCACGTAGCAAAGCATTCATTCTTGTCCTCGAAATATGTTCTGGCTGCAATGGCACCACGTAGCTGCTCCACCTTGTCAAATACGCACGATGGAACTCTTCCCGCCTAAGATGGAACAATCCCGAAATTTAGACAGGCTTGCGTTTGAAACTGCAATTTACCTGAATGACAAGAAGAAAGAGGGCTAGGCACTTCATCGCCAGGGAGGCTGTACCAAAATGCCTTCCAAACGCTCCACCTTTTAGTCTAGGGGCCTTAGATACCAAAAACAATGGCAGTAAAATTTGTTACTAGGAGACCTATTTGACACACCAAGATTTTGAGGAGGTGTCTTAGAAACAACACAACCCTTGTGGCCGACTTTAATTTCGTGATTGATGCAGGGTTATATTGAATATTTTTAGCAGGCTGCTAATGCAAATATTTTACTTCAAATAGTACAAGAATGTATATGAACTCATGAGAATGAGTTTTTTAGTCCGCCGAGCAAAAAATTCTACGAAATCTCTGGTAATCTGAGAATCTCATCTTTTCGCTTTAGATTCGCTCAAATCTAAAAAGAAAACAAAGCATTATAAAGACAGACCAACTGCGCAGTCGCATATGATTTGTAAGGTAGAGAGTTAGGTGCCACGTCCATAGAGCTGAAAATTATAGTAATTGTAAACAGATCATGAATGCACTACTCTTTTTTGTTTGTTTGTGAACTTGGATTTTAAACAGCTGACTCTCAAAAACTTCAGCGATCTTAAAATGAACGGTCGCTTTAAGTATTCTCTAGCGGAGTGGCATGTTTCGAGATCGACTAAACCATGGTGTACATGGTGCAGCGCCTAAAGAGCACTGATTAGTAATGCGCTTACAAATGTTTGGTTTTCGAGTGAATGGCGAGGACCACCAAACAGTCGCTCGAAACGTGCAGAGGAGGGCTGATGTCCCCCCCCCCCCCCTCCCCACACGCCCTGTAGCCCGGAACGTCAGTCGGTCGTACGCTCTTCGCGACTGCAGCTGTATTTGTTATTCACATAGCAAGGGTGAACTACATGCTTAATTTAAGAATAAGAAATGTTTTTTTTTCAAGAATTTCGCAGACATAACTCAATTCTCGTAACCCACACGGGTATCGAGTTGCACCCACTCTCACGTTATATAGCACGAAGTACGACATATTCTCTGTGATTTTCAAATCTTCGAATTTTTAAGTGCCCTTCTCCAGAGCTTTAGGGTGAAGTCACCTTTTGGGAATTTTCTTTCCAAGAACTTCGAAGTCGAAAAAAACTGTATGGGTTAGGGGACCATAAGGCTGCGTTCATACTGATCCCGAAGTCTGGGAACAGTTCCAGCACAGAGCTCGAGTTGAGCGCTGTGCTGGAACTGTTTCCGGATCTCAGGATCAGTATGAACGCAGCCTAAAGGCAAGCAATGTAAGCGAAGTCACTGCGTTAAAGCAACTGGGCACTGAATTACAGCATTTTTCAAAGGAGCTTAGATTCTTCTACGACTGCTGTACTCGCGAAGAGCGCGCGACCAACTTACGTCCCAGGGCTACGGGACAACAGTTATGTGGGTCGCTTAGCGCGTTTGTAGGCGAGCGTTTGGTGGCTCTCGCCATTTTTTCGGAAACCAAATATTGGTGTGCACATTAACCGACAGCAATGTATAAGCGCTGCATCGTATAATGTAAACTTCAGACAATTTCGAAAGAACGTATTTTGTTGAAGAAATATTTCAAAACGAACAGGTTTTGTTCTGCTCTTGGAACGATCGTTTTTGAAGAGATCGCTGAATTTTTTTAAGAATCTATAGTTCAAAGTTTAGAATTGATCAAAGTGTTACGTTTAGATATGAAGTTTTATCGTACGTGCGGCTGAAAAACAAATATCTTTCTATGGGGAACCTTCCAGTCAGATAAGAAAGAGCAAATGAGTTCATGGTTTTTATTCATTACTGTGCTTATTTCCTTTCTATTTCTATAAGAGTGACATCAAATTATTGCCATATAAAGTACTCCTGCGATACCCCACTGTTTGTGTACGTTGCGCAATAAATAACGTAGGTTAAGTTCTTCTCTTCAGCAGATACCATCTCATGTCTGCCTATGGGACTCTTTCAAAGTGGAGAAAAACAAATATAATCTTTCGACAAGGTTGTTAATTTCTGGAAGTCCTCTACTGCTATTGAGGATGGAGCTTGCTTGCTAAGAAGATAATTTTGATGCAGTTGTGCACACTCATCCAAGCATTTTTCGTCAACCCGAATAACTCGGTGGAGTTTCTAAACGACATCATCGCCGCAAGCCTTCAAAGGAGATAATTTCTTCTTAACTTTAGAGCATCACCAACGCTCTGACTCCTGTGGTTCATCGAGGTTGAGCATTTTTCACCCTTTGCTTGAAATCACGAATTTAACGCGATTTATGTTTACCTGTCTTATTTTGAACTTTAGAACAGCTAGACGTGCAGTGTTTTTCGGTACGTTTCGAGATCCTTGACATATGCTTGGTTGAGGATAAATTGCAAACCGATTTAGTTGCGAACAAGATTTTTCTACGCTCAAAACTTAGATTTTACAAAAAAAAAACGACAACGTCGTGTTTGTTCAGTGCGCAAAATTTCGTATCTGAAAATGTGAAGTACTCTCGCAAGATAGTTTTTAACTGTTGAATTTAGAACTTTCTTGATTTTGCTCATTCCACAGTTCTAGTTGTTCACACAATCAAGAACAATGGACACTATAATCGTCGTTTTCTGCAAGATTGATACCCTTTTATGAAGTTTATGATATTGGCACAAGAAAGCGCTTATGAGCCGTGGTCACTGCCGTAAAAAATCGCACTGCGCTCATCCTAGACAACACAAATTTGGCCAGTAGTCACACAGACATGGTTTTTGGAGCTAAAATCACTTAATTTCGCAATCTCAAGACCAGTATAGATTCCATTAGGAAGTGTTCGGAGGATTTGCAAATGCGAACCAGTACTCCCATTGAAACGTGAATTTGTGACATGGTAAGTGAGGCAAAAATTTTGAAAAATAGGATCTTTTCTATTTATTCTAGTCAAATATAGCTGAATCTCACTCAATCTTTGATAGATGAGTTGAATTCTTTGTGCTCAAGGAGAGTGCAATCCTAGCATTTGGCATTTAGCTAAGCTTATTTTTGTTCGCTCACTAACATTAGGTGAATAAATAATGAGAGCCGGAAAAACATTTATTTTAAAATAACACTGTTTTTGACCGTTCGAAAGCAAACATCTTATAAAACTTGGAATTCGGCGAGCTATATAGCTGACGAAGTCCGCCTGAATGATGAGTAAAAAAAGAGTGGCACCACTTCACCTCCAGAGAAGCTAATCCAACAATATCGAGGCATTTTCAATTTCTTTGCCTTCTATTCTGATGGCAAAGAAACTATGCTACTAAGAATTTGTTTCTAAAGACTCAACGCTTCCAAGTGAGTTTCTCATGAATTTGGTGATCATTAAAGCGTTTTATTGTGTTTAGAGAGGCTTTCCTTGACACTCCGCGGTGCTAATCATTTGCCTGAACTTTACAATTCGAAACATACACATGGACTGGTGAAATTATATATAATTAGCTCACGGAGCCAGGAACGTGGAAATACGCTCAGGTTACTAGTAAGAGTTTCACTTCTTGGCCGAGAGTAGAATTTCTTTTACCAAAAAGGTTTGGAAGACTGGGGAACAAAAAATTTGGAACAGAGTGCTGCGCAGCTTTCCTCCACCTTATAACAGCTACTGATCACTGCCAAAGTAAAAGTCTATAGATGAGTGCTCAATAAAGAAATAAGAATAGATTGTCCCGATAGATTAGATTGTCCCGAAAGTTTTGTCCGTTTTTTCAACCTATCATAAAAACGCGTGGAACGAAGATGGGGAAACGCTCTAAGCACTATCCGACGCATATTTTTCTTCTCTTTCTAACTGTCATGCTTCCATTCCGATTAATCTTTTGTTCATTGAGATAAACGCCGAAATTTCAAACCCATAGTTTTTACCACGTTCAAGTTTGGCAGTTTTTCACAATCTTTATTTTTGACTTTCGGAAAAGCTTTGGCAACAGTTAGATAGAGCAAACAAAGGGCAATATAATGCAATTTTGCGGCATCTATAGCCAGCCTTGAAAATTTTTTAGATTTATTTTTCTGATGCTATCGAATTCCACTTTTGGTGATGCCAAAAGCCAGAGATCATGAAACGGCGCACAACTAAGGTGTTATTCGATGCGGCTTTTCCTTCTCTTTCCAGTAAGTCTTTCCAGTATTTTCTGTCCAATTTGCGGGGTCTTTGGCGATAAAATTTTTATAATTCTTGAATTTGACCCCACCCCAGCGTGTACACGTAAAATGCAAAATCTTATATTTCGAAGCGGTAAACGCTCATTTGCTTCGTAAAAATAGTGAATAATCGAAATCGATTTCTGAAAGCTTCAAAATTCGATGATTTGTTAGTGTTCGAGGCGTTTCTGTATTTTAGAACTTCGCAAAATTGAAGACTTTTGAAAAAATTGTCTTTAAAAATATTGAAAAGCCAGCTAGATAGGCCAAATAACTGCGTTGCATTGCACTTTGTTTACTCTATCTGAGGGCTATCAAAGGCCTTCCAAAAGTTGAAAATGAAGATTGTGAAAAATTGTCAAACTTGGACATAGTAAAAACCATAGGTTCGAAATTTCGGCGTTTATCTCAGTGAGCAAAAGAGTAATCGGCATGTGGGCTTGACAGTTAGAAAGAGGAGGAAAAGGCGCATCGGGTAGTGCTTAGCGCGTTTCCCTATCTTCGTTCCACGCGTTTTTATGATAGGATGAAAAAACGGACAAAACTTTCGGGAAAACCCAATAATTAGCACCGCGGATTGCAAGGAAAAGCCTTTTTGAGCACAATACGCCTACTACCTTAAATTTGGTGATCAGTAAAGCGTTTTATTGTGTTTAAAAGGCTTTTCTTGGCACTCCGCGGTCCTAGTCATCTGCTTGAACTTCACAATTCGAAACATACACATGACTGGTGAATTTATAATTAGTCGACAGAGCCCAGGAACGTGGAAATACGCTCAGGTTACTAGTAAGAGTTTCGCTTCTTGACCGAGAGTAGAATTTCTTTTACCAAAAGGTTTGGAAGACTGCGGAACAAATAAATTTGGAACAGAGTGCTGCGCAACTTTCCTCCACCTTCTCAGACAATTGCATCGGAAAGTTCGCGGGTGCTTGCTCGGCCACCAATCATCCATGCCGCGAGCTGCCCGGTATAAACCGATATTGGACCCGATAAGTGACCGCGGCGCATCCTGTAAGCGCCCGATAGTTGACCCGATTAGCATGCTTGTGGGGCCTAGGAAGAGTGGAAAAATTTTGGCCTGTCTTTCATGACAACGACTGAGTACAAATTGAGCAACTTGTTAGCTCATCCGTCGACATCATCTACTGTCGTCGATGACACTCAACCGATTGCTGAAGTTTGTTTCGTGAGCATATAAACTGTCACACAGCCCAACCCGAGAAGCGACAGGCAGCCTCACAGAGACTTAGGGTAGCCCCATCGCTGCGGCGTACCTCACGCGGGTTCTACCTTAAGCTATAGCGTGTAAGAAGTGCGGCCTTTGATAAGGCCCGCGGTACGCCGAGTGAGGTGATTGGGCCGCGACTCTCCCGATAAGCTCTTTTCAATTTTAACTTTGTCCGCGGCGTTCCCGGTAAAATATACATGGGCCGCGGCGTGCGCGGCTGAAATTTTAAGGGCCGCGGCGCGCTATGTAGCACGCTTTGAGGCCGCGAACTTTCCGATGCAACTGTCTGAGTTATAGCAGCTACTGATCACTGCCAAGGTAAAAGATTGTAGATAAGTGCTCAATAAAGAAATAAGAATAATTTTCTTATTCTTTAGAAAACACTAAACTTACGTTTTGTTCTTGATCATAGACCGGGTAAAAGATCTCGTTTTATGAGCGACAAATTTTTGCGTCAGATTGAAATAAAACAGAGTACATGCTGCTGTATCGAACTCCGAAGCATACTAGCATACTAGCATGCTTTCTGAAATCATTTTCATATAAAAATTAATTTGTAGTAGAGTCAAATAACATAGATTAAGGGAAAGTTTTAAATGAGTAGTTATTCATTACCAATGCTAACGTTACAGTGAAGCTTTCTTCAAAATTTGGCTAAAAATATGGTTCAAAATTAGTGTGATCAAACTGTGGAAAGGAGGTATCGGCTTTTAGATGAATGCCTTTGGCAGAAAGTAGTAAGGCAGTTGAGTTTGGAAATCTGTTTGCACTGACATTATACTAAATTTTTGGAAAACGAGAGCGTAAAGAGACAGAAGAAGGGAAATTCCCTATCTACTAAAAACTGTTTGAAAATTTTTGCTTATCAAACTGAAATATTTATTCTTATAGCGCGCGTGTATGTCTTGTGCTGGTTAAAGTGAAATTTTTGCTTTAGCAACACTGCTGAAAAAACATACCATAAAACCTTGCATCAATCACGAAATTAGGCTTGACCATAAGGGTATGAGATATTGCTTTTGAGACACCCTCTGAATTTCGGTGTCCAATTAGTCTCCTAGTAACAAAATTTTACTGTTTGTTTCTGATATCTAAGGCCCTTGGCCAAGAGGCGAAGCATTTGGGAGGCATCTTACACAGCTTCTATGACGTTGAAGTGCCTAGCCTTCTTTTTTTGTCATTCAGGTAAAATTGCAATTTCAAACAGCACGATTATCAGAACCTATCAAAATTGTTTCATCTTAGGCGGAAATAGTATGGTGCGTAATCGACAAAGTGGAGAGGCTGAGTGGTGTCAATAGTAACAAATCAATCACCGTGGAAAAAATGAATGCTTTGCTGAGTACTACAATGACAAGAGCTGCGTTGCACTTACAAGGGAAGGATGGTTGATCAAAGTGGTCTTTTAAGACGGGTGTCCACCATGGTGGAGGACATAAAGCGCTGGTTCCAAATCTGTCTTCTTTATCTGCGGAGCGTTCCTGGACGAGGAGTTATGAGCGTTTAAAGGAAAAAACTGAATGTTTTTCTAAAATAAAAACGGTTGGTAAAATTTTCCCAGCGCTTAAATGAGACAGCCGAAGTGCGGATATATCTCATCTAAGAGTATTTATTTTATAGAGTGCTGAAGAGATTACCACTGGTCTATTTAATGCTAGTAATAATGATACTACTGTTTTTATATTATTTGCACATTCATTCTTTTCTCCAATAAACGCTCATAACTTCTCGTACAGAAATGCGCCGCAGATAAGGAAGACTGATTTGAAATAGCGTTTTATACTCTCCAACAAGGTATACGAATCATCGCAAAGAGCGACTTCGACTGACCATCCTTCCCTTGTTAGATACTACAACGAAGTCAGTGATTTGAACTGTCACAAATTGTAGGAGGCTTCTATTATCAATTCTAATTTTCCAAATGCAGTTAAAACAAAAGAAAACCGGTTGTATCGAAAATAGTCAAAAATTTCCAGTCCTATCAGATAACACGTGCAAGCAATTATTTGTTTGTATGCTTCACATTTGCAGCTAGTTCCACCCTTTTCAAAACTACAGAAGTTCCAACATGAGTCCACTGGAGGAATAATGGCCGCAAAAACTAGCGGAAAGCGAAATTGTTTACCTGTGGCTGTTCAAGTAAATCTGTTTTGAAGAATGCAGAATTATTCATTGAATTCGTACAAGTAAGTTTGTGTTTGATGCAAGGCCTCACTAAACGTTCACTGAAATTTTACTTGCACTCATCTATCCCACAGGGGCGGATCGAGGGCCAGGAGGGCGGGAGGAAAGAAAGTTGCGGAAATTTCCAAAGCGGCCTATATGAATCATTGAATGCAGATAACTTGTTCTTGAATTGTTCATGAACTTGAACAATTGATTGAACTTGTTCTGTTCATGCAAATGATGACCAAAATGGACTCTAAAATTTTGTAAAAATTCTGAAAAGTTTTTTCGTATCCCCCACTCCTCAAAAAATTCTCGGACTGCCACTGCGATTGCATCAGCAAATTGCAGCCTTTAAAAGGCCTTGCGTATCCGGCAATTTTTATTTGTGGATTATAATTGGGGTAGCGCCAGAAGGTAAACTTGACAGTATCAAGATCGCCGAACGCTGATTTTGCAACGGTTCTCTCAATTTTTTCTTTATGCGAAGGTTGACATGAAAGGCTGTTCAACATTTGAACGATAAAATCAGATTATATGTTAACACATTGACGACCAAAGCCTTTCTCGGACCAGCCAACATTCTTCAAATAAAATAACGCACAATTCCATATTCAGTACACCCACAGTAGCGCTGGAATGCTGGCAAAAACAGTACAGGTTGTATCTAAATCCAGCATGAAAGAAAACTCCGGAGTTGATTTGACACATTTTAGTAGCCATTTCAATGAGAGTCATGGTATGTCAAGCCTTGACACACCATGTGTGTCAAGCGGTCGTCAATGTGTTGATCTCTCATCTCATTCCACTCTTCACAGACTCGAGAATGCCTACTGTTCCACTCTGGAAACAACGCATGGAACTATCGCAGTGAATTTATGTACTACATCCTTCAGCGTGATGAAGTGGATCCCACTTGCCGAACATACTTGAACTTTTGAGTATAAAACCGTTCATGTCATTTTTAGTTACATGAAGTTTGTTACATGAAGAGGTTTTGCAGGAATTACAGCTTGGCACAGTTGGCTCATAGGGAAGGTTGCATATTGTGCAAAGCGGTATCGTTTTTGCAGAGTCCGCGCGGAGCTCCGGAAAAGCGTGAATTTATCCATCGTGAGTTTCGTTGAGACTGAATTCTGCAAAAGTAACTGTGTAGTTGGTCAACCTGCGCACTTCACTACCACATATTTTTGCCCCTGCCCCTCCAAACAAGTTTTATCCCATCGAAATCGAGTGTATTCACAGCAAACTGGATCATGTAGCAAACAGCAACCTTCAATCTTATTAGGTTGTCCCAAAAGCGGGGGGGGGGGGGGGACTTTTCATACGATCGGGGACTTCGCACCTAACCTTCGCACCTACCTCACACCTACATCGCACCTCTCCATCCACGTAATGAGTAAGATTCTCCACTACGCCTAGGTGAGGGGAGGGAGGGGGACTTTTCATACGAACGCTCCCCGATCACTTTGACCTTCTAGCGTATGCTAGGGTGCTGTCAGGCCCCGGACAGTCTTCACGCGACTTAATCGTCGCGATCTAATCGCCAAGATTTCCATTCATTTTCATTTCACATTCAAAAATTTCGGGCTGGAGAAGTATCACAACCGAGTGCAAGTTGATCGGCATGGAATGATATTGTAACAGTTGTCTCGTCGCGATTCAGTCGCGACGATCAAATCGCGTGAAGTCTGCCCGGGGCCTAATACGTCCAGTTATCGATTACAATGGACTAAAATGAAACGTTTATTATCAAAAATGCGTAAACTAAAGAATATCTTGATTTTATCTTTTTGCATAAACCTTATCGAGATCGTCAGGCCACAGCGAATTCATTTTCGCAAACAACTGGCACAATTGTGGTAATGAATAGTTCGCTTTATCGAGTCGCTTGCCCTTCAATGGGTGTAGATATGTCAAGAGGCGCGATTCCTATTGCCAGATGGGCAGCATATAGCACATATTTAGTGTTTTATGAAGTTCTAGAATTACTTGAACTTTCGAAAGAAATATATTAGGGAATTTAGGGATTGTTCAATCTCATCATCTTGAAATCGATTTCAAACAAAATTGTTAAAGGTCAAAAACACATAAAAATGCAGTTAACAGCAATTTTGTAGATATTTTTGTCAGTTTTCTAACAAAAGTCGTCAAACTTATCAAGTGGTTACTTCAAACAGCTAGTAAGCCAATGAACTTTGTCCGCCACTTTTTGAATTTTCCCATAGCATGAAACAGGAGTTTTAAGTTGATGACACCCAGAAAAATCGCGCCTCGTGACCGTCTTCCTCCTCCAATATCCCCTATGGGAAGAGTAACACTTCCAGGTCATGCTGAAAGCTCGGAGAGGCATTTGACAATACTCAAATCAGGTCAAAACGTTTGCAAAGACCGAATTATGTCGACTTGAGTACTAAAAAATTCGTAAGTGGAACGATCACAGTGTTATTTTCACAGAAAAACACATTTTGAATCCATACAGTATTCAAGTTTTCCAAATTTATCCAAATTTGCGGTGCTGCAAAAGCTAATCTAGATGTTTTTTGGAATGGAGCCAGCAGGCCCAAATCTGGCATGGTGCCAGTTTTTACTAGATCTTTGCCAAAAGATGATGTGGAGGCATTCGTATGAAAAGTCCGACCCCTCCCCTCTCTACAGTATACTAAACACGGAGGTGCGAGACTTGACACTTAGCCGTAGGTGCTCACACCTCGCACCTCGGAATTGCTCATCGTATGAAAAGACACTCACCCCCCAAAAGCAAACTCCATTTCTAGATAAATCAAGCTGTTTTCTTTTTCATATCAGACTTAGGATACCATTCAATAGGGCGAAGCAATCTCTAACGACCAAAGATCCGCCTAAGTTGTGATCCAGGCGGAATTTGAAGCCAAAAATCAAAAATTTTCAACTACCCTAAAATTTGAGATCCTCCCAGAAAGATTCTACGAACTCCATCTTGGTCATTACAACACGTAAACATATCAAGGTGCGGCGGGTACGCCGCAGCCACATAGGCCGCCTCAGCATTAGCTATCAATAATGACCGAGTTCCAATTACGTTGAACAGCTCTACAACAGTATTTAAACAGTTCCTCAAGACTTCAAGAATTTTTTACTAGCTGAAGCGAAATTCGAGCTGAGAAGTTGTTGACACCTAAATGCATTAAACAGTTCCTCAAGACTTCAAGAATTTTTTACTAGCTGAAGCGAAATTCGAGCTGAGAAGTTGTTGATACCTAAATGCATCAATCTCCCAGACTTTCTCAATTAGAGTGGATAAAAACTTATTTTCCAGACTCTCTCAATAAGAGTGGATAAAAATTTATTTTACCCTGTGCTTGAGGAAAAACTTGAACTGATTTTTTGGGAACCGAATGGTTTTGAATCGCAAAAATGTCGAGTTTTTCTGTTAGTAGCGTGTTAGACAATCGTCATCGTAGCAGCACTAGCAGAATTCTATGACCACCACATGTCAAGCTGAAAACACCGTGAAGACACCGTGCTCCTGAACTAAAGCTATGGAAATTTTCATGCAATACAATAGCCTGGCTGCCAACTATGTGGAGGTCAAAAGGCGGAGGTTGCTTAGCCCATCAATAGTTTGGAGGTAAAGAGTGCAAGATAAGCTACAAAGACTTGAAGATGTGAGCATTCTGCTCAGAATGGAAAGGGGATTTCAAACGTTTCTAGGCACACAGGAGTCTGGTTCATTAATTACCTAAAGCTATCTTCTGGAGCAATTTTCTCGCCCTAGGAAGCCATTTTTTACATAAGTAGTTGGGCAGTCTCTTGTAGTTAGGAAACCTCACCATGTACAGAGTCATCCCACAAGCCTAACATTTGAGTGAACGCAGCTTCATCACGCGAGAAGAGGATGAGGTGGCCAGGTTCCAAGTTTTTGCTCATTCATTGCGCTCTGTGGATTCTGCATAATTGCGATGGACAAATCTGTCGGATGTTTCGAAGAAAGTGTTGGAATCATAGCGAATAGATTTTAACTTATTGCCGAAAAAGCTTCTTTCGGCTCAATCCACCTGAATGAATTTGGACGCAGATCAGTTTCAAGCAGCTTGTACATTGAATCGCAAGAGTGTATGGTTTTGTTGTCTTTGTCCAAGGGAAGGATACTAACTTAAATTCGCTTTTTGATATGGAACACATACAAGATGTCCCAAAAAATGTGAACACTGTTTGATCGTTAACAACTTCCTGCTTTCATGTCTTTCACCGAACTTGAGGAACCATTCTATAGAGCCAGGTTCAACTTAGATTTATAGTATGGAGCGAATCACCAATCGCTTTTCTTTACTGTGGGATTACTGTAGGAACTTCGACAACGTTTTAGGCCACCGGAAGCCATATTCTGCCTAGGAGCAAAATCAAACAAGCCAAAAACTCTTTTACTATGATAATGGAAGCCTCTAATTTTTCCACTTTGCTGATGCTTCTTCCCAAGGTTATTCCAGGTAAACCTTAAGAACTGAAATTCCGCATTAGTCAAAAATGTGATTACACCGTCAAAAAAAGCTAAAAACACTTGTAAAATGTTGTGTATTGGAACCAGCTTGCGCAAAAACCTAGTACACGATTTCTCAGATTTTTTCGAAAATTTTGTCAAATGGCATATTTCACAATGGTTTTACCGCAGGAATTTCATACCTTAATCCTAGTAGCGAAAAGAGATCGGAGTTTTGCTACATGACATAAAACTAAGTTGTACCTCGCTCTACGGAGTGGTGCCTCAAGCTCGGCGAAGGACATGAAAACAACAGAGTTATTAACGATCAAACAGTGTTCACATTTTTTTGAGACACGCTATATATTTTGAATCAGCTTTGAACGCTGATTCCAAATATGCTGATTCTAGCTGCTTAGCCTTATTCCGAAGCGGGTTATGGGTTTGCTGTTGTGAGTAGCTAACAAACTTTTGAATGTCGTAACACGGCGTTTAGATAAGAATCTGCTCGAAAAAATGCTAGGATATTGACTTAGCATCAGATTAATTTTTTCGATCTTAAAAGGGAGCATTATACAATTGCAAAACCACTTGGACGTCAACACCGTAGCAAACAATAGATCGAGGAAGACCACAACTGGCTTCAAGATAAGCTAAGCAGCTAGGAGCAGCACATATGGACTCAGCGTTCTAAGATGATCCCAAATTTATGTGTCTCATCTAAAAGGTAACCTAGGTACACATAAACCTTTTGTTAAGTAAGATGTAAGCTAAACTACGCATATATAAACCTGATATCGAATTTGTTAGTACGCATGTTTGTTATAGAAATCTTTGCGAGTCAACGATGCTGAAAATTGCTTCTCCTACAAATAAGCAAGTGTCAATAGTTGTTCACCAGTTTTCGAACTCATTCATTAATCTTTTGTTCCAATGATACAGGGAAGGGTCACGAACTTGAGGTGACCTCTCGCGAAATGCATATTTTTATTGGGAAATTGCAACGCTGACTTCAAGTCTTTCTTATCTGCAGACCTCAGCAGTCTTCCGACTTGAACTTGCCCTCGCAAACATGGGAAGGTGGGAGGTCATGAGCTGAACGTGAGAGGAAGTTTTTCTTAGTGGGTTACCTTGGTTTAATCGAACTGGCGGAAGGTTGACTACTGGCCATTCTCTTTCTTCAAAATTTTTCGGGGCTAATAAACATCGTGCAATCTCTTAGAAGAGGGATTGTGCAAAGAGGATGAAGAAGTTGAATTTCGCTATTGGAGGTGCCGCTAGGAAAAGGGTTTAACAGGTGAAGCTTACGAATTTTCCAAGTATAAAAGATTACAAGTGAAAGCACTGTATGCACCTCACAAGGATTCTCAGCACAAGCCAACGCGGCAAAAGTATTATAACTTACAGATTTGAGATTATCTTTGCACAACTATTTTGATTGATGAGACTTCCCCATCTCTAGGCCAAAATTTTTGCGGACCATACCCCCGAGATTCCAAGAAAGGGAGCGTGGGGGCAGTAGCGTCCAAAAATTTCTCTACGGGGCTAATTTGAATTTTTGAAACTCTCAAAGACTATTTTTTTATAAGTGTAAACAAGTCACTTACGCTTTTTGGCTCATGTGACTTTCAAAAATTCCGCGGTCGGCGCATCCCTCCTTCCGTCGGTACGCCACCATGTAATACATATGGATGCATGCATACTGTCATTCCCTATTTCAAAATTGACACTATAAACGACAGATGTTGTCACGCGAATTCTGATTGCTTGCATTTGATATGACATCTATGGCATATATCATATCGTTCACGATTCGTATGATAAGCGCAAGATAAATACATTGTATTTGATGATAGCTTAATTGCCGTGCAGCAAGTAGAACGCAACTGTTTTGATATTGTACATGTGTTATATCCCAACAGGAGTATAATGAGCGTTCAACTCTTTTATTTTCCCCGGAAACCGTCTAATCACCCTTTTATAATGGAAAATGTGTTTGTGCAATTGCACTTCAATCCATTTTTCCAACATCATCACAAATATATCTGGTATATAAGCCGTGAAGGTCCAGAAAAAGATGTCAATCTTCCCTGCCTTCCATTTTTGTATGGACCTACTCTTACAATATGATAAGATTCTTAGCATTAGGTTCTATTTGGTTATGCCAAAGATGATTTTTTTCAGCTAGATTTTAACCAAAGATTGCTGTGAGATACTAAATTAGTTGAGATTGCAACCAAAAGACTCAGAAACTCTGTTTCGTAATATGTTACCCCTGCTTATTCTACAAGGGGAGCAAAAGTTCGCTCCTCATTTGCCTTAACGAAGAGGTTTGCTCGTCAGTCCTGCCACTTGAGGTGTCTACAACAAATGATGCCACGTGAAATTTGACGTATTCATTTTAAAGTCGCAGCACGTAGCACATATAAATAAGCAACCTTTTCTAAGAAGGCTTGTACGTTTTTTGGGCTTAGACTGCAAAACCCAATTAGTAGCAGCATTTATTGTGTTATTGATTGCTTAGATTTTCACCCGTGTAGATCGACGTTTTGAAATTGCCAAAACCACTGTTAGACTGGAGGGGGAGAGAAAGATTACCGTATATGAAATTGTCGTGATTACTACTTGCTTGCGAAGGTTACGATAATATACATAAACATTTAAACTATTTTGTACTGGGCACCCATTTCTCACGATTAGTTTTTCGTGGAGTGAAATGAAAAAAATTTGAAACGCTTCCCTCTTTGTTCGTTTGAAGAAACTTTTCTTTGTTTAACCAGTTCAAACAACTGTGTCAGATGCAAGTATTTGATTGAATTAACGTAATTTCTTCATTTCAGCATGAAAGCAAAGCTTGTGCTCTTCGTCTGCGCGACATTTATGGTGACCGTCACGACTGATGTCGTGACCGAATTGTGGAATCAGTATCCGGATTCGGATGGAAATTACATCGTTCCATACCAGTTCTCAAGCACCTACAGTAGGCCAAATTTGTTAATTTTGAATAAACAGAGGAAAACATAGATGAAATTTATATTGAATTTCTGTCTTGAAAATCAATTCTAGATTTGTGTCGCAATCCGGATTGAAACTTTGATTTCTATTTTTACCTTGCTTGGCTTTTCCCAATGTTCCCTTCTTATATGAACATCAACATTCATAAAACTATTCACAGGTCCTGAAGACCGCTCGATGGTTTTGTCCGCTATGCAGAAAATTGCTGCCAACACTTGCGTTAAATTTGAACCACGATCGAGCGAGGAACAATATGTCGAGATTATCAACGAGGAGTCGGGCGCGTACGTTACTTTTCCAAATGTCCGTATACGTTTCCAAATGTGGGCATTAACATTCTTGGACGTTCTCCCCCATATAATAAAGCTTTTTTGGCACTAGGTCATTCTACTTAAATAGTTATCAATCATTCCCAAAATATCTCAAATGTTGCCTTTTTCAGGTGCGGTGCAAATGTTGGCAGAATTTCAGGAAAGACTTCTGTTTACCTTGAGCCAAGGTGAGAGTGGACTTCACGTCTCCGATTTTGCAAGGCTTTATATAAATGATATGTCAGCTGCATGGACGCAAAAACTGTCATGGTTATGCTCCTGCACAGCCTAGGATTGAGTCAGGAGAATCAACGAGAGGATAGGGATAACTACATCAAATTGCATCTTGAAAACCTGATAGGTTGTTATTGATTTTTGAAAGCAGCGAATCATATTTGGTAGTATTCAGATCCAAGGGCAGGTGTCTTCCTCGCCATGGCCGAATCAACGCAAAAGTATCTCAGTGTGCCTTACGACTACCTTTCCATTATGCATGATGCAAAGGATGCCCATGCAAAACCAGGCACGATCACCGTCGAGACTGTCGACCCTGCCTATCAGGTAAGTCTCAAAATTTTCTGTTAATGGGATGAACTGGAAAGATGCAGGGCTATTGCTTAAGGACAAGATCGGAAAGCAAGCTGCGCCGTCTGCTCGCGACTACGAAAAGGTCAATTTGCTTTACGAGTGCAACAAATCTTGAGTCAGTACGTCAGCACTGATTTTGCTCCACAAATAAAGCATCGAAAATCCATTTTATCAACTACTCGCTGAATATACACGAGCATGGTAATCACTTACATCCTGACTACGAAGGACTTTATTATGAGAAGTTAAATAGTCGCTGATGGTATACTTCTCCTTGGCTGAAGCAAGTAATCAATACGAATGGATTTTTTCAAACCACTGTCTGCTTCACAACAAAGTGGCAAACTGAGGTTCATCTTTTTAGAGCTTGATTTTTTGTGCTGAGGGATTCTGGTTTGTGCATTTCCGACCTTGCAAAAAATCGAAGATGGCATACCCAACTACTTCGGTGATACAATTGAAAACTTCTGGTGAATGAGTAAAAGTGATAGGTGCTATATAATCAAGAAATTCTTCAGAAAAAAAGAGAAGACTCAATTATTGAATGCGACAAAACTTCAAGCTAGTAACTGCTCTTCAAAATCCCTTGGACATTGAGTGGTTCAAATTGATTGAGAGACGCAATTAGCGATGCGTTGTTAAAGAAAACAGTGCAATAATTTCAAAGACTCATTTCATCGTCTTCCTCAATCTTTTGTTGACCACGGAGCTTTAACACATTCGCGACAATACCACCGATCGGTGGGTTGTAAAACTGAGGCCCGTAGTAAACCCCTGTTCAGCGCGCAACTCGGCTCAAAAATGAGCAAGAGACTTGTCTACTCTAATGAAAATTTAAAATAGTTTTTAAAAGTTTTGAAAAATATAAATTAGCCTTGTAAAGAAATTTTTTGGACGTAGCTGCACTCATGTCCCCTTTTCCTAAAATCTCGGGATTAGGGCGTAGAAGTGGAGCAAGTCTCATCAATCATACACTTCGATTGTGCAAAACAACGTTCTCACTTCTATAAGATTTAGCGCTTGTACCGCGCTGGCTTGTGCCTGGCTGAAATCTGCGATAAGAGAGACTTGAAGTCAGCGTTGCCCCCCCCCCCAACAAAAATATGCATTTTGCAAAAATGGGTCACTTCGAATTTGTGACCCCCCTCCGCTCAGTTTTTTTAGCGTAGTGGCTTCGTTTACCATTTCTTGCCCTTCTGGTCTCCTAAACACATTTCTTTTCATCCTTAGAGTTCTTGAAAGGAAAGTTCCTAAACAGGTAATTTTGGTGGCCTCCATCTGCTAATAATTTTTGGGGATGGCAATGACAAGCGCAAAATTATCCATTCTTTTCGAATATTTGAAAAAAAGCAACGAAACTGCAATTGGGCAATACTGCCCAAAGTGGTCAAACGCTGAAGATCCAAGACGGTTAAAAGCCAGCCAGATAGAAACCATGGTTTTCTTTTTCAAGAATTTCGCAGACATAATGAACTCTCGTAACCCCCATGGGTATCGAGTTGCATTCACTCTCACGTTATATAGCACGAATTACGATTTATTCCCTGTGAATTTCAAATCTTAGAATGTTTGGGTATAAATTGCCCAGCCATTTCAATATAATCCTCATAGCAAATCTCTTATTCTTTGGTTTACACATGTCGAATTACAAAGCAACACTGTGTTAATATAATAAAAATATGTAAAGTAACTCTTATAATCGGAAATGAGGCGTCCCAAAAGTTTAAACCTACAGTTTATTTGTTATTTTCTCAAGAAGTCTTCTTTTCTCAAATACTACTTCGTAGGCTATCTTCAACTTAGATTACAGTATAGAGCAAAACATTGATCTCTCTTCATCACTGTAGGAGTACAGTCGCCAATACTAGCGATTGGCAATCGCCAGTCGCCAATATCGGCACAAAAATCGCCGGTTTTACTTGTATTTGATGCGTATCGATCGTCGCCATGCTATGCTCCTTCCAGCATCTTCGAATTAATCCATTCATCATACGCACGGCAAGCCTGTGGAGTATACGATGCAACGGCTCGGACTGGTGGTAATTTTCACTCTCATTACTCAGACAGTCTATGAGATACCTCTGGAGCAGAAGTGGCAGGGTCGCGGGCTTTCCCCAGCGGAGGATCGCCACTTTGCGCTCCGGAGCCCTGCCATTTCACGCATTTTTGTGCTCCGGGGCTCTCGCAAAAGTGGCGCACCTCCGGAGCAGAGATTTGCGCGTCGCGGAGAGGGGTCCCATTCGTCCTGTTTGTGACGTCACCGTGACGACACGGTAATGTACGTCACGCATTGTAAAATGTCTTACATTCAAATTAGTTTCTTTCGTTATTATGCTCGCTTGGACTCAAAAGATCGATATGCTGCAAAAATTTGGGGAAATTTCTTTGGAGTTTGCGATTGACAGCCATCCATTCCTATAAAGAAAAACTTTTTCCTCATCTTGGAAAACGAAAGGGAGTCAAGGCTACTGCCGGTATGTGTTCGTTGATGCTCGCCAGAATAACTTTTGCGATGATCGACCACCATCGGTACTGTAAACTATAATAATGATCTCAAACAAAGCTGTTTTTTCTTCTCACAATCACATTCGAAACCGTAAAGGCACCGTCCACCGTCCCAAAATCTCGAATTCAATGTTTTTGTCGCCTTCAGGCCTTCTGAAGGCCCTGATTCCGGATATGGAGTCAAAAATCCGCGAAACCCCCAAAAATCCCTGTTTCGAGAACCCTCTGCAACAAACGCAGGCGAGATAAAGCATACAGGTGGGCGGGGAGACCCTGGTCGTCCCGCCTACTTTGCTAGTACTCTGCGTTGATACCACTCGCTT